GGCGGTCCCTGGGGTAAGTCTGGGGGTGCCAGGCTGTCCCTTGGGGGTGCCAGGCTGTCCCCTGGGGGGTGGCGATGTGCCCCCCGGATGTACCCGGCGGTCCCTGGGGTAAGTCTGGGGGTGCCAGGCTGTCCCTTGGGGGTGCCAGGCTGTCCCCTGGGGGGTGGCGATGTGCCCCCCGGATGTACCCGGCGCTCCCCGGGGTGACTCTGGGGGTGCCAGGCTGTCCCTTGGGGGTGCCAGGTTGTCCCCAGGGCAGCTTCTGTCCTGTCCCCCCCCTCCTTTGCCCCCCGCAGCCAAGACCGGCGACCCCAAGAAGGAGGAGGAGGAGGAGGAGGAGATCGACATCGACCTGAGCGCGCCCGAGACGGAGCGCGCGGCGCTCGCCATCCAGGGGAAATTCCGCAAGTTCCAGAAGCGGAAGAAGGAGTCGGGGCCCTGAGGGGGGGTCCCGGGACCCCCAACCCGCGCGGGGACCCCCCCCACCCCCCGTGGGAAGGATCCCGCCCTGACCGCACCACGCGACGGCGCCGGGGAGGGGGGTCGAGCCTTCCCGGGACCCCCCCCGGGTGACACGGGGGGTCCGTGGGGGGACACAGCCGGGTGTCCCCCCGGAGGGGAGGTGGCCGTCGCGCGAGGGGGTGGAAAGAGCCCCCCAGTTCCCCGGGGATCGCCCCGTTTTTGTGATGGCGCCGGGGGGGGGGATATCGGTGTCCCCAAGCCAGGGGAGCCCCTGTCCCACCCCAGAGGTGGGACCCGCCGGGGGGAGAAGGGGGGGCCCCGGGTCTCGCCGCAGCCCCCCACGGGAAATTTGGGGTCCCCCATCCCCTCCCCACCCTCCTGTCACTGTCCCCTCCCCGCCCTCCTGTCACTGTCCTCCCCCCCCCAACCCGGGGGGGCTTTTTTAGCACGTCAGAGAATAAACTGTGAGGAAGAGGAGGGTGGGGTGTGGTTTGGGGGGGATTTGGGGAGGAGACCCCACTGGGAGGGACCCTCCGATGTCCCCCTTATGCCCCGGGGGTCCCTGGGGCGGGGCTGTCCCTGCTGAGGGGGGGGGGGAATTTCCCCATTCCCCCCTTTTTTGGGAACGGCTCCATCACCCCCAAATCTCCCGTCACGCCCCGATTTGGGGCTTTTCCAACGGGATTCCCGTTAATTGATCACCCGCAGGGTCTCAGCCCCCTCCCAGGAGAGCCGAGAGCGGCCGGGGACCAGAGAAAAGTGTGTGTATGGGGGGGTTGTAAAATTAAGCGACTTTCAGGAATTTTTACACCCGAATTCCAAGGGATTTTTGCCCGCAGGGGGGCTCGGGAATGGCGGGATCCGGCGGGGAGACCCAGAAATAGCTCCTTGGAAAGAAAAACAGTGGCCGTGGGCAGGGCCCAGGGGACACGGCGGGGTCGGGCTGCACAGACTTATTAGGGAAAGGACAATTATTCCCGGGGGGGGGAGGGAGCCTCCATCCCCGTTTTCCATGTGGGAGCCAGAATTCCCAGTCTGTTCCAGTGCACGATCAGCCCGTGTCCAAATTGCACCACCCCCCCACCGGGAACCTGAGCCTTGGCCTCGGTGTTAATTAAATGAGCTTTAATTAACGGCTGATGGGAGAAGAGGGGGGCTCGGGGCAGCTCCCCCGGCTGAGGGGGGGTCCCTGCGGTGCCACCAGGTCGCCCTCGAGCCACCGCGTCCCCCTTTGAGGGTCCCGGCGACGTCCCGTGGGAGCTCCGTGCGATGAGTTCGTGAGGGCTCAGCCCATCCCAGACCCGCTCCCCACCCCAAAAGACAGTGA